TGGTGATTAATTTGATACAAACAAGAATACTACATTATACACAAGTCTTGAAGAGAGTTGATGGCTAGATGCTTCAATTCCTTTGTGAGACAAATGCGATGCAAGAGATTGAGGCATATGCACGATTGTAGCAATGCCTATAACACGTGAGGCAGCAAAACATATTTAAAAGAAGATTGAATAGGCAAAAGAGAGATTATGGTACGTTCTACAGGAGATTGTTGCGGCACAATAGAAGTTTATAGTGCGAGTTTTGAAGGAGCTAATATTGTGCAAGCCAATCTGCAATCTTGAAGATGAGTGCTGGTGTGATTTCCTGCAATTTTGGTCCTAAGGTTGAAAGAGCTTGGAAGTCCTTGCTATGTCTATTCAAGGAGTTCCCCCTTGACTTCGGGCTCTGTCAGGCTTTGAAATCTTACAAAACTGAATGACTCTATTAGTAAAATTAAGATTTTTTTTATAAATTTTTATAGGTGTACCTTAGCCTTTATTAAAAATATTCTATATGTTTCTTTTTAGTTATTAAAATAAACAAAGATTTACATGCATGCCACTTGATTCCAACTTAATCGCATATCTAACACGTGAACTTCAACTTTTACATACACACTACCTCCTGACTTCATGATGATTTTTTACCAAATCCACATTAATAATTGAACTCAAATGTGGCAGTAACCGACTGACCGATTGAAGTGATTGTTAGGGTGATGACCATGTCTGTCGAAGTAAAAGACCGGTCGGTTGATATGTTGTAGTCGGGCGCCCTTGGGAAGGATTTAGTCGGTTTGACATTATAGGCATGTCCCGCCGATTGGATCGCTTCCCCATAATGCATCAGATGGCTCTGATTCAGTTGTCAGTCAACAGATGGTCGGCTTGGATCACATTTTTATAGACTGATGCTCTGATTGTCCGACCATTGTTTTGAGCCGTTCATTGCCTTGAGATTCGTGTCGATAATTTTGGTGCATACAAATTCAACTCTCAAATTCTGTCAACAAAAAATTAAAAATAATAATTTTTCATCTTTAAAATTAGAATGTTTGTCTCTTTGAGTCTTTATGTAATGTAAGTTTACACATTGGACCGTTGCGGTAAAAAAAAAATTATTCATCAAAATTGCAAAGTCACAAAATAGATTAATCTGTTGGGCTCCTCTCAACAAAATGAGTATAGAGTGGGGGTGTACATGTAAAAACATTCGAAATGATGAACTTTTGGCACGTTTCGATCGAAAGAGTTAAATAATATGTAAATTATTTTTGTTTATTTGACCAATTGAGCAAATAAATTTAAAAAAATAAGCAAACTGAAAGATAATTATTAAATAGGATATCATCCACAACTAACAATAAACTTTTTTAGAGCCCACCGTACCAAAAAATTATAATTATAATGATAATTTTTTATACAATTTTAAGAATTTGATTCATATACATGTAAATATGAATGTTTAGATATTAAAAATATAAACACATAAAACTCATGTAGTATTTATGTAATATTGTTATAAAATAATATAAGGGTCATATTACATATATAGCACCAGAAATATTATTGTTTACAAATGTAGCACCCTCTTTCATCCAATTTACAAATTCTAACTCAAATATCAAAACTCATCACAGAAACTCAACACATATTTATCATATTTATCAAAATCTCACTGCTTCAATCATTTCACGCAGAAATGCATCCATTTTCTATAGTTTAAAAACATCAATTAGCGGTTGGATTTTGTTTTTCAGATGGTTGAGTTGGGCGCATGAAATATTTGTATAGGAGAGGAAATGGTCAACCAGGAAATTGACCATCTCATCCGCCCTTATTACCAGATTTGTAAATACCAGCAATGCATGCTTGGAGTGCTGGCAATCAAAACAGGAGAGGCTCGGCGTGCAGGCAGCTGGTGACAGAGGCTGAACCAGTCAGTCCTTCTGCGTTCAGAGCGACCGGTCCGGCTTCAAGGGAGCCGTGTCCGTTCCACTATTGCCTTTCTATTCCCACACGGTGATCCCAACCCGAACCGGAACCAATCGGGTTGAGGCCCGATGGATGGTTGGTGGGCCGACGAAACGGTGGGACCCGCCAACCGGAAAGGCGAAGAGACCGCGACGGCGCGAAGGCCCAAGGGATGTGGAAGGGGGGAAGCGGGTCCCACGCCGGCTGGGTACGGCATTGGTCAAACCCGACGACCAAAAACGCAACGGCATGAAGTGGGGGATGCGGACTCCACGTCATTAATCTCCGGTGTCCTACGTGGACACAAGCTGACCTGTCTGGCATAAAGCGGCTGACACCCACTAGACTCCTCGTTATCCGAGCCTGCTCTTTCTATCTCTGCTTTCAAGTATATAATCGTGTCACCCTTTTGCATGGAGAGCATGCTTATGACCGGACATTCAGCTGCGCCTTTTCTTCTTTCAGCTCCTCTCTCTTCTCGGTTCTTCTTCACTTAGAACTTGGAGATGTTGCCTCTTTTGTATTTTTTTAATTATTATTACTGTTATTATTAAATTAATGATAGTGTAGGATCTATAAGCTCTTCCTAACTAATAAAGTTATATAATAGGACTATTCTGAGGATCTAGATCTCTCATTTGCATTTACGGATTTCATCTACCTTTTTTTTGTTTTTTATAATAGAGGTAAAAATATTTGTCGAGTTTTTTTTTAATTATTTTTTCAACTTATATTGCTTTTATTAATATTTTGTGCTGTTAATGTTTTCTTATATGATAATTAATAAATTGGAGATTACTTTATCTTTAGTTCAAAAGTATTTTTTTTTTAACTAATGGCCAACGAATTCACTTTTAGTTCTTAGAAATATATCTATGTATATATATATATTGTGTGTGTGGAAAGTTTTGAATCAGATGAAATTGTTCAGAATGGTTGAGATTTAAAATGTAGATTTAACATAATATTACATTAATTTTATTAATAAACAATGCTTTGTGGATATATATCTAAAATGTTCTATGATATTCAAATATAAAACAAGTAAATATATAAGCGACGATTATCTTACATGAAGGTTTAATTTAAAGAGAATGATTATAAGAATAATGGAATTGTAAAACAGTTGCGTTTAATAAACTAACTGCTTTAATATTATTTCTCTTTTATTATATTTTACAGAAGAAAAAAATTTATCATTTTATATATTAAGTTATATTAATTTTATTGTCATCTAATTTCAAGCTATCATTGAGAAAAAAATTGTATTCATTTCCTATATATATATATATTATAGTTGAAAATTTTAACCATATATATATAGGAAATGAATACAATTTTTATATTTATTACTGCATAATTACATCATTGTAAGATTGACATCTAAATTTTTTTGATATTAACAACTCTAAATTTTATTTTTTTTATGGCTCTCTCAAATCCGACACTAAGCAATTCTTCATTTTATTTCCAAATCATATGCTACGCATTAAGCACATAAAAATATTTACTAAAAATATTAAAAAAAAGCTAAAAAAATGTTTATGTAAGAATATAAAAGTGCAAATTTTCTACTTACAAAATTTAAATTTTAAGTTAAATGAGGTTAATGCATCCAAATCCTCTAATCTCTTCTATTGGCCTACATGCACACCATCTAAGTTAGATCAAACACAATAATTTAGAAAGGGCTCAAGGGGTTCACTTCTATTTGAGACTTCATGAAGAGTAACCTCAAACAATAACTTCATCAAAATGTAATTAATTTTTCTATCAACATCACTCTTTTATTTCTTTGATTTATTCTCTGTATAGTCATCATATTATTTTAACAACAAACAGAATTGATTAATTAATTAAGCAGACAATTAGACGAAAATCTAAAATCAACAAAAGACAAATTAAGAGATTTATCCAAACGAGGACAAACATAATAAACAAATAATAAAACATGAAGACATAGTTCGATAAACCCTTGGCCTTCTCTGTCACTAAACCTAATAAATTAAACAATGTCGTAACATCAAACAAAGCTAAACGATGATACAGAAGGTCAAATACGCACAGGAACCAAAACACCATTACATGTTTCAATGTTGTTACCGTACATCAATTTATAAATACATTTTCTAAAACCAAAAAAATTAATTAAAAATATATATTATATAATTCACCAGAGACATAAAAAGTCCTTTTTTTTTCTTTGCACCTTAAAACCTGGGTAGGTATATAAGCAAAATTTATGCACCATTACGTCGTGCTTCACATAAAATTAATACCAGAATTAAGCTTCTTCAGGCCCTAAGCGACCAACATTTGTCCCAAGACCCAAACGCACGAGGGCAGGCCCCCCCAAACCCTATGATTATTAATTATTCTTCGCTAACACACCGATTTATTTTAACATTGTAATTCACCAATTCAATATTACAGTGGCAGTCAAACCATCGCCAAGCTCTTTAATATAATATTTAGTATGTCTATTTAAAACTATTGAGGCTTAAAATTTAACAAATCTGGTTTTTTTTTATTATTAAGAATAAATTCTAAAATTTTCTATGGATTTATGATAAAGATATTATGACAAGGAGAGAAGTTGTTATGGATCAAAATTTTATAATAATTAGTTATGAGGTATGTACTATATTAAAATCAATAAAAACAATATATTTCAATCTTACTTTAATTTTTATAAAAAAATAAGATTATCCAAATTAAATCTAATTATAAAAAATAAGAGAATAATATCATGAAAAGCATGCTAAATTTCTCATGACATAACATAATGATATGAGTATCATATATTAAAGATTAATTTTTGGTATCATATTCATTATCAAAATTTAATTGTGGACTTATAATTTTTATAAAAATAAAATAAAAAAAAAAGAAAGAAAAGTACGTGAATCATTTATCTAAACTTCTTCTATAGTTAGATATAACAAATCTCATCATTCATCATAGTCTTCTATCATCACGAGAGAGAGAGAGAGAGAGAGAGGGGAGGGTAATATCGTCTGGAGGCCCTCCTAGCTTTAAGAAGAATAGGATAGCTGTAGCAAAGCCTGGGAAAGACGAGAAGCAGTCTCGTCGCCGCCGCCGTCTCCTTCCTCATCATCGCCATCGTCATCAGCTCCGTCGCCGTTATCTGACGGCGCGTGAGTTGAGGCCGTCGTCGAAGAAGCTTCTGCAGCATCCAACGGCTCCGGTTCCTCCGTCTCCCCAACGCCGCCAGCTGAACGGTTTAGATTACCCGTCCGCCGGATCAATCCCCGACCACCCACCGGCATCGGTTCTGTCAACTGCTTCCCATCTCGCGGTGGGCAGAACACCACCGGCATATACTCGTCCGTATCACAAGCAAATTTCGAGTTCTTAAAATGCTCCTTTAATGCTTCTAAACCCTATATATAAATTCACACCAAATTTTAATTTTTTTAGAAAAAAAAAAGTATCCTTTTTAACTAATTTAGAGAGGAAATCGTATAAAAATTAAACCTGCAATCGAGCATAGTTAACTTGACAAATCTTCCGGGAATTGAAGACCTCCCATGGCTGCTCATGAAACGCTTTGTGTAGCCTTACGGCAGCCTCCGGCGACGTCAAGTTCACAAACCCATAACCCACATTGCATTTGTTGCTGAGCCACAAATAAAATCAGATTTTAAAAAAAAAGATTTTTTATAATATAAACAAATTTAATTTATAAAATTCGCTGTAAACTCTACATCACTTCTTACAGCAGAAGTTTTTAATTTTCTTTTGGTTTTTGTTTTTGAGCGCCTTGATCAGTCTTTTCCAACTTACTCGAAATCAACAATATGATCTATGCCACTAGTGGGTGGGAGCTTTCACTTTATTATTCCATTGCTGCGCGCCCCCTCTTCTTCTAATTATTATTTCATGTCTAAAGTTTATTACTTTCTCTCTCCTCTCTACCTCTCACGTTCCGGTTTCCTTCTCCGGCTACCTTCTGGTGGTCTGGCTTTGTTATTGACGGGCAAGGAGAAAGGAACGATAAAGGAAAGGAAAGGAAAGGATGTGTCTTTATATGGCAGCGGCTTCATTACTATTTGCGTGAGTAACAGTGTACGGTTCAGATGAAGAGGGAGATAGGAAGAGGGAAAGTAGAGCAGGACTAATGGCTTTGTTTGGCTTGGTTTCAAAACAGAAAGCCAAAAAACTCTAGCATCGATCCCCTTTTTACCTTCTCCTTTCCTTCCCTTTTTAGGTCTCTTTCTTATCTCTGCAACTGCCACAGCTTATACTCACTCGAGCACCTGCAACCTCCCCTTTTCTCTGATTCCACCTATTACTGTAACACTTTGCTTGTTATACTCTACTTGCCTATTGCCTCCCTTGTTTTTAATATCATGGAAAACTAAAAGCCTGGGAAGAGAGAGACAAACTTACTTGAAATCGATTGGGAGATAGACGAAGTCGTATGATGAAAACGCCTCCTCTTCTCTTTCTCCAATCTCCTCGTTACACCTAATGCAGTGGTTGTCCAGCATTCTCAGCAGCAGCATCTGACTGCAATTGCAAAACCTCACAATAATTAAAAATGCTTATAAATAATATCTCATAAAAATATAAACTTTGCTAAACCTCTCTTACTCTCTCTACCTGTACTTGTTAGGTATGTTTTTAATCATCACTGTTGTTCTTGAATCCATTGTAGCAGTTGATGAAGATCCTTCCTCCATCGCCACGGCCTCCTTGAATTGAAACCTTGAATCCCCGCCATTCCTTGAATGATTCTTCCATCCTCTTCTGCTCAAATGCTGCTGCTTTGCTACTACCGACGATGATGAAGATGACGAAGACGACGCCGCTCCACCTATTTGCACTGAAGCTGTCTCTTCGTGCCTTCCCTTTCCCTTCTTATCCTCTCTCCCACTCTTCCCAATTTTCCTGTTGCCTCCTTGGTCCGAGGAAGAAGATTGCGCCGCAGCCGCCACCCACCGGCCGGTATGCGGCGAAGCTGTACGTACAAGCCGCGGCGGCGGGTGGCGGTGGCTGAATCCGCCACGGTTATGTCTGCCTGCGCTTCTTCTGTTAAAACAGCAAGAGTGCGTGCTACTTTAATGAATCTGAGAAAACTATGTATATTGATACATATATGGATTAAATATATTAACCTTTTACTGAGCCCAGCTGTAGAGCTGAATTCGACAACCAGTCTTCGTCCATAAACTTCCTTACCGTTAAACTCAGTCACAGCTCGAGCTGCGTCTCTTATATCGTAGAACTCGATGAACCGTTGATGCGGCTTCCATATCGTCTCCTTAACTTCCTTCACATCGCCTGAGTAACGTAACGGAAGAAAGAAAGAAAAAAAAAATCAACTTTCGAACTTGCCATAAAAAGGGAGGCCGGGGAAAGGGAAATCGAAAAAGATAATCATGGCATGTAAGATTTTGCCGACATACACCAAGCAATAGAAACATCTAAAATACAAACTATAATATTATTACCAAGAGAGCCGAAGAGTTGGGCGAGGTAGGCGGAGGGGAGAGAGGGATCGCAATTGGAGATAAAGATAGAGCCTTGATTAGGCCCGTCGACGCCTCTCGATCCGAACTGAGCCCACACGGCTTGTCCTGCGACGAGGCCGCGGCCTGCGAAGGGTGCTAGATCAGCTGCAGAGACAGATGGCCACTCAAGAACTCCCCAATTAGCAGGAACAACGCCGTATTGTCGACTAAGAAGACTTTGCTGACGCATGTGCTGGTCGCGGATCTCGAAGACGGCGGCGATGGAGCTGCGGAGGTCGTAGAAGTGGACGGTGGCGGATCCATCGGAGGTTATAGACGCGGAATCTAGTGATCTCACGGGGCCAAAGGATTCCATGGAAGACATCACCGAAGCTTCGTCGGTGTGGGGGGGAAGAAGGGTTAGAATGACAGCTCGGGATGGGTCGCCGTCGTCTGGTAAAGTATGGTGAAGCTGCAGGTTTGGATGGTAGGCGGCGGTCGGAGGAGGGGGAGGAGGAGGGTAGGGGAAGTAAATTTGAGCGGGTACTGAGCCGAACTGGTTTGAAGGGTAGAACTCCAGCGCACCTGGATCTAAGATATTCCCTCCGATTCCTCCTTCCATGCCACTCTGTTATGGTTCGATCTTCGAGTGTTTTTTTACTGGTTTTGAGGGTTTAGGGTTTAGGGATAAAGACGGAGGGGAGAAATCTCTGGAAAAAGAGTGGCTTTTGGGGGAGGAGTGCGGGGTGTGATGGCGGTATACCGGCGGGGAAAGGGAGAGATAGTGATAGAGAGAGAAAGAGACGGGGGTGAGTGGACTTTTAATGCTGAGGCGGTATGCCGGCGCTGGTTAAATGTTCTTAAACCTCTTTTTTATTCCTTAAACATGATATCTCATTTTAGCTGATATTAAAATGAGTCTTAATTTAGAACAAAATTTTGTTATAAACTTAGCAACTGAATAGCTTGAACTCCTATTTTAATGCTGTGAGGTTTCACTATTTTTAACCTTTAATTATTAGTAAAAAAAGGCATTTATTCGAGTGTTGTATTTTCTGATGATTAATGCTTTCTTCCATTAAATTATTATTTAATTTTATTAGTTGATGTCAACTTTTTTTAATGAGAAAAATATCGAAATGATCATATGATCCTTTGTAGGGGATGATTTTAATATGCGAATTTATCAATGCATTAGTTTATATTTTAAACTTTTTAATATTAGTTAAACTAATCACAATGAGAATTATGTTAGTACATATTAAAAAAAATTACTTCGAGATTTTTATAAATTATGAGCCTACAACTACTCATGTTAATAGTCAAAGTTTGTAAAGTTTAATACATATATATGTATGTATGTATATAAACGAACGACAGCTTAGAAGACCCCCAATCCAGGCGTCGTGCCTTCTAGATGACCCACAATCTGGGCAAACCGCAAGCTAGACATCCTTCCATTCGAACAACCCACAGTCCAGACGACCCTCATTCTTGACAACCTCGTTGTCTGGATGATCCGCAGCCTGGACGGTTTGCAGCCTTGACGACCCGCAGGCTGGACAACTAACAATCCAGACGACCTGTAGTTTGGACGACTTAATACAATCGACAGCCACAGGCCCAGATATGAAATACCAAAAAAAAACCTGTAAGATCATTAATAGAGTATAGTTAGAAATGTAATATCTCCATTTTGCACTTCATCCTCTATAAATACGGGATCATTTCATGTAAGAAGGTTTTTTTTTTTGTGGGCCTCTATTTTTTCTCATACATTCATAAATATTTAATTACATTCACTCTGCTCTGCTCCTCAATTTTTGTCTCTTTTCTTCACTCTCTCACTCTCTCACATTCCTATGCTCAAGTCCTTTGGTGTGATTTACATACGATGCTCGATTCAACAATATTTAATCCATCTTTTTATTTTAAATAATAAAAATATCATTATAAATCAAATGTGGCTAATTTAAATTAAAGTAACAAGTGTGTGTGTGTGTGTGTGTGTGTGTGTGTGTGTGTGTGTGTGTGTGTGTGTGTGTGTGTGTGTGTGTGTGTGTGTGTGTGTGTGTGTGTGCTTTGTAAACTTAAAAGTTGTTTTAAATATACATTAAAAAGGATGAAAAACTTGTAGACCCCATTGATTTAATTTAGCGTATTTTATTCAATATAATACCTACAAATTATTTTCATATTAAATATAACTTTCGAATATTACATGATTTTTTATAATCAATTTAAAATGAAATTGATTTTAAACTATTTTAAAATTTTAAATTATTTGTTGGATAAATGGAGAGAGCATCAGTCTAGGCTAATATTTTTAAGAGCATTCACATGGCACGCAGCTCATATATATTTACATATCTAACTATTCATGTTTCATATTTACATGCATAACACTTAAATTTTAAGTTTGGACACTAAAGTGTTGTAAATGTAAATATAAAACTTCAAGTGTCAGATATGTAAATTCATAGGAATTGTGTGGTACGCATGTAAATTTCCCAATTTTAAAACGAGTTTCTCTTTGTTAAGTAATTCTTTCATGCAGATTTAAAAAAGAATAAAAAATTTAATTAGCAAATTTATATCTTAGCTTTGTGAACAATCCCCAAAATATGGTAAAGATTAAGAATGTTTCATACATCATAAACAAGGTTTCTAATCTTATCATTGCAGGAGAATTCAACACACATTCAGGTAAAATAAAACAATCATTAATTAAATTAGAAGTATTTAAGTAGAAAACCCGCAAAGGAAAAACTCACGGGATCTGACCCAGATGTAAAAAAGCTATATGTTGATGATAACATAGACCTGTTGCCCCACATACATGAAAAACTTATTCGGTTTTCCAAGTTACAACATCGATTAGCAGCTTTCGGTCCGTGGCGATCGACAGTGATTAGTGGTGATCGATGGTGGTCAATAGTTGACGATGGTCGGTGATGGTTGACGGTGACAGTAGTACTCGACGACTATTTTGGTAGTCGACGGCAGTCGGTAAAGGTTAACGGCGATCAACGGCAGTTAGCGGTGAACAACAGCGGTCAGCGGTGGTCGACGGTGGTCAGCGGTGGTTGACGACGATTGGCGACGATCGATGGTGCAAGGGTGATGTTAGACTTCAGTTTCTTCTCAAAGCTTTATGTTCTCTCTCAAGCCTCTAACCCCCTCTCATGAGAGGGGTGGGGTCTATTTATAGTGTTATGGATGCAATAAATGCATGAATATGAACCACTTTAATCGGATGGTCCGGAGGACTTTCTTCAATCAGATGACGTTTGATGGTCGTTTGAGTGCCTGAATAATGTCAGAATTTAGCAATCTTGGGCTTGTTTGATTCGTCTTGTCGAGACGCTCGATTCGATTATATGCTTACTAGATTCGACATTCATTTATCCTTCTAAATATGTCTGGAAAACTTCCAAGAGTAGTTTAATGACTTGATCTAAGCTTGGTTTGACTCAGATTGGACTAATTTTTGTAATATTGAGTTCTTCTTATCGAGCCAGATAACTTGACTGTAACTTTATTGAAATCGGAGTTTTGGATGAGTTTTTATCGACGTTTAATATTTCTTGCTCAAAAAACCACCTCAAGATTTATGACAAGCCTCGAGATTCTGGTCAGATGATGGAGATTTGCTAGAGTTGTATCAACCATGTTTACCTCCATCAAAATAATGTCACTTGCATGAACTTTACATTACAAATGATTCATCATTTCTTGTAACAAGAGACGATAAGATTATAATACTAATAACTAGAGTGTAGAAAATTATTTCTCTTGGCTTTGTTGAAAGTTTGATGATTTATCAAAAACACTCACGGAGTGTGATTGTAGGTGTCTAAATTTTGATATCAACGAGTGCATGTAAACAATAATAATTAGCATCACAGAAAAGGTGGCATCGGTCTACAGTTAATCAACATTGCAAGTCCATAAAATATTAATGTTCAATGTTTAAGATGAAAGGGCGAGTGATGTTACTCCAATTTTTGAACTAATTGATGCCTGATGAATCTAAAATCACTAAGCTTTTATAAATAGTTAGTACTTGAAGGTCACTTATAGCTATAGGGTGATCAATGCTCAAAAGATTGAATATCTACATAATGAGAAGGATTGATTCTTATTTATAGTTCGCATTGAGTAATATGATCTATGATCGTTACTTGGATTATTTATCAATCTTACAATAGATTGTGTCCTTATCTGATCAAAAACTAATTGGATGATCACTCGCTTCGGCTAGCTTGATCGAATTGCTCTAGCCATGATGGTCCAGGCGATCAATTGACGATCATTGATAACGAAGCCTAACAAAAAACTTATAGCCACAAAAGGTGCATACATGTCATAGAAACTTCAAAAAGTTAAAAATCCGATAGACAAAATTATGCACTTTAAAATGACTTTTTGTAAAATATAAAAAGAAACAATTGAACTCTGTGGCCTAACTTATAGTCCCCAATTAAAAGTTAATGAATGTCTAAAATAAGATTAGGTTGATAGTAAACTTGCCATTTGCATAAATACCCTCATGAGCAGAACAAGCCTTCTTGCCTACAAAGCAAAGTAAATGAACCATTTCCTTCACATTAATCAACCAATCATGCATTTCATGCATTAATTCAAGAAAAAAAAATGACATGAAATCAATAAATGTGTCAAAGGTGTGAGAAAATAAAAAAAAGAATTCATTGTTGGCCATAACTTTTGAATTCTTTGAGCAAACATCAGTACTTCTACACCAATGGGAACTAAAGCTTTCATTTTCTTTTTTTTTTCTGACATGTTTTTAAGTTTCATGATCTACACTTTTTTGTTGTCTTTCTTAAACCAATCGGGAGCCCACCATAGCTCGGCCCAACAATAACACCTCACTCTCACTCATTTGTTGCATGAATTTATAAACAGTAATTAAGAGGAAGCCACATGACCCTATTATCAACTCTTTCTATTTCTCCTCATCCCTCACTTTCTCCCTCTACAGTATTGACATTCATATGAATATTATATATAGAATAACATATTATTATTATTATTATTATTATTGATCTGTGTTTGAAGATTCACAACGGTATAGTAATGATTATTTATCGTCTTAATAGTGCATGAAAAACTAGCACACACTCAGATAGTTAAAATACAAATAAGAGAATGAGACATCTCGATTTTTTATGTGGAAAACACATAAAAAGAGAAAAAATAATGGGGCCTAGCCCATTTGAATTAATCCACTATGAATTGTGAGTAAAAAGATCCACTCTTCTCTTGAATTAAAGAAAATAGAATTACAAAGTTTTATTTCAATGATTTGGTTGTAGTTCTTTGCAACAATAGGCTGCAAGGAACATAATCGATTGTTGTACAGTTAATAATTTTGAGTGAGTATTGTAGACGGTGGTTGTAGCGTAAACTTGTCGTTGAAGTTGTAGTTCTTAACCATGACAGTAGTTGATCAGTTGGGTCATAGATGGTTGCTTCTGGAGCTTCGATTGGCCATAGAGGCGTTAGTAGGGGTTCGTGGGAGATGTGAATCATGTACGTCATATAGGCAATAGTGGTAAGCTGCAATGACATCTCTAAAGTCATGAGCTACATGAGTTATGGACTACGTAGGTCATAGTTGGTCATGTAAGTAGTGGTGAGTACTAACGATGTTTGTAGGTTGTGGGTCTGTAGTCGAGAGCTGCACGAGTTGTGGACCGCATAGGTCGTAGTTAGTCACACAAGACATAATGGTGAGTTGTAATGATGCTTGTAGGTCGTGGGGGCCATAGTCAGGAGCTGCATATGCGGCGTGCGTTGTTACCCCATCTTTGAGATGCGTTGTTGCAACTTCTTCGAAGTGTGTTGTTACACTGTCTTCAAGGCGCATTTTTGCACTATCTTTGGGCCAGCCCAGTGTTCAGGATAATGCGTCTCTTCGCAAGTTTCCTCGTGATTCCATAATGTTGGTTGTTGCTTCGCATGGTGATTCGCCGCAAGGAGTGAGTGGCGGCTGATGGAGATCGATGACAGCTGGCGAGTGGTGATCGACGATGGTTTGTGGTGATCAATAACTGCAGAAGTAAGATGAGACTAGCACCTTCTCCAAGCTTCAACTCTCTTCCCTTGTTGAAAGGGATGGGGCTCAATTTATAAAGTCTCGGGTGCAAATGAATTATGAATCACTTTGATCAAACGTCTCGAAGACATTTTCTCTATCAAACAACATTTGATGGATAAATAAGCGCCTTAACGATGTTAGAATTGAGAGATTTTGGACTCGTTAGATTCAACTTGCCAAGAAAATTGATTTGACCATAAGCTTACCAGACACGACATTTGTTTGATCTTTTAAATATGTTAGGAAATCTTCCAAATGTGGTTTGATGGCTTGATCTAAGCTTGATTTACTTAAATTAGAACAATTTTGGGGTATGTTTCACTGAGCCGATCAGTTTAACTGTAAGTTTGCTGAAATTAAGGCGTTGTGTAACTCTTAATTGAAGTTTAAACATTTCTTGCTTAAAAATCACCTCGGGATCCTTGCGAAACCTCGAGATTTAAGTTGGATAATGAGATTTTGTTGATGGTATATCAATTATTATTATTATTATTATTATTATTATTATTATTATTATTATTATTATTACTATTTATTTTATTTTTTTAATTTTAATTCCCTGCTGTCCATTTTTCTTGCATGGGCTTTGCAATGCTCAACTAGCGCTAGCCAGTTACCGTTTGGTTTGGACTTCAAAAAGCCATGGACTTTGTGTTGTTTGTCGTAGCCAAATTTCAAATGTTTGCCTTTAAATTTTATTTATGCATGGTTTAATTAACTAAAAATATATCCATTATTTTTTGTCTTAAGTTGTATGTCAGTCCTTTTTGCACACTCCTAATCTTGGTTCTATATCCCGGTCAGTTTATGTCTTGCCCTAATCGGTTTGTGTCTTGCTTTGATTGTTTTGTGGCTTGTCCTGATCAGTGCCATGATCTGATCAATTTATGCCTTGCCCCAAGTTTTTATTTGGGTTTGATAACATCCAACGTTGCGTCTGTACTGTTGTGGGTGTGTTACACTTAAATATTTACTTGTGGGTGTTACATTTAGGTCTTCTCAACTATTCATAGTAAACTTGGAGTTGTTGTTGAAATATGGTTGTTAAAACAAAAGAAAATGTACGTCTTAATTGAATTTCTGTGATAAGCACTAAAATCAGATTTAAAATATAATTAAATTTGAGCCCAAAAAATTCATTTTCAAGCAAAAGAAAAAATAAAAAAAATTCTATTTCAAGCCACCTTAATCACAACACAAGCCTGCTCGAAATTAAGTGTACATCAATCCGAGTTAGCCCAATATAGAAAGGATTGGGTCATGAACCAATTTTGAGCAAGCTTGAAATTGATTTGAGCCAATTATGAGCTTACCAAGGTTTGAAGTCGGCTCATTAACAACCCTAAAACCGAGTGAGAGGCACTTAGAATTCGCAATTTGCTTTGATGTGAGGCTATATCAATTGAGTTTTTATTTAGGTACATCTGCATGCATACCACCCAATTCTTTTGTGTTTACTTGGCACCTAAATTTTATTTGTAACATTTATAACAAACAAATCTTTCAGATCACATAAAAAATACCACCATTTTACCTTTGAAAATTGAAGTACACATTTTCAAGCAATGAGACAGCTTTAGTTGAAAAAAGGAGCACACTGAAATATATGTCAACATATGGTAGAACACTGAAATAAGGAGCATAGAAATCAAATTTTATAACCTAAAAAGAAAAAGTCACACAAACGTGAGTTAAGCATTATATCTTCAACATAATCTGCACCAAAAGTCAATAAAGCCAACATTAGTACAGTTTATAATCCAAATAATATTAGCACCATCAGAACAAATATAACGCTAACAGCAATAACATAAATGCTATAATCACAAAATCAAATAATAGCAATATCTTCATAAAAAATTTCTAGTCTTCAATAGTTTTCTTCACAATATCTTCAGATGCATTTCCTTCGTCACATTGCTCCAATATTACATCGCACGGTTCGTCTACCCATTGAAAAAATTTGCAATACTTGTTCGATCAATTTTTCAGACATCCATAAAGTTTTCTGTCAGCGTTAACGCATTTCTAAGTCGTGAAAATAATGCATGATATATTACAATCATAAAATATTTGTCAATGTTCCGGCCCCTTGAAATTTGTCGAATAACTTAGAGCTCATTTTCTATAACATAATCCTGTAAATTAATGAAGAGCACATAAATAATGAGAGAATAAATAAATAGGTCCGAAAAAATAGTTATGAGCCAACACAAAAAACAAAATTGAAAAGCTACAAATGAATCTCATCACATATAATTTTGATTCATAAGCTAATAGCTCACTTTTCAGTAATTTACATGCTTACCACACAATTCTTTCATATTTACATATCTAATACTCAAACTTTAATATTAACATTCCTAACACCTAGCCAATAAGGCAGGATGCTCATGCCAAAGCTGTCTTCAGTTCATTCTAGAATAGCTCACTAAAAATTTCAAACTTCATATAACAAAGTCTAATTATATTGATTGCACCTAGCATCTACATAAAAAATGTTTACAGACTTCTGAGAATTGAACATAGGTGCATCTACATGCATACCACACAATTCTTATATACTTACATATCTAACACCAAAACTTTAATATTAACATTCATATCACTCAAAAGTACCCCTTTTTCTAACTTTTTTTAAAGTCAAATGAATCATTTTATGCAAAAGTTTATAGCACTAAGGTGCTACTAATGTAAATATCAAACTTTAGGTGTCCGATAAGTAAATCCATAAGAATTGTTTGGCACGTATGTAAATTTCTTCTCCTGAAAATATAAGTCAAACATACAGATATGTATGAAGAAGTTGAAAGGCAAGCATGTAGAAGATTGAATCCAAAGTAAGCTGAAAAACTCAAAGAGTTCTACACGCTATACAGCCATCTTGAGGTTATTGGTAGGAAAAATGAAAGTTGAAAATAACTGAAAAAGAAAATAATCATTTAATCAAAAGTTTCATAGTATTGAGCTGAGATAAACAGGCATGTCTATTTATAAAAATTAGGGGCATTTACATACACACCACTTAATTCTTATGAATTTAAATATCTTGGTTTTCCTTTGTTGCTCATTTTGCTCTCTTTGATGCCACTAAAACGAGTGTTTTGGGCTGCCATACTTCAATAAATAGGTATTAGAGCTTATGTAGACAAAGGAGAAAACATGTTTGAGAAGTTTGGCAGACATGATGATTATGATAATAATTAAAAAAAAAAATGAGAGCATTTTCATTATTGAAGGATATGAAAGGTAAGAGTTTCCTAAATGCACAAATGTAACTTAAAATGAGTCAAAAAGCTCTCGATTCTATAATACTCAGATTGAGAGATTAAAATTTGGCAATGTAGAGCATCTCTTGATGAAAATGAAAAAAGTATATGCATTCGAACCCTTGGATGCCCTTCTTTAACATACTCAAAAATTAGAAGTAAAGAAATATTCATAATAAAAAATATAAGGTGTCTTAATACTCGCTTGTACAATTAATCATATATCAGTTACAATACATCAACCACTATCTTAAGCATCGGTGATTAGTTATCGTAACTTGATCATCTCATTAGCACATTCTCCATCGACTACACAAGGACTTAAAATATCATCATTATCCACCATCGTTTGCCCCATGCGATATTCATATGCTTCTAGAGGCACCAATTCGCTCTCATCTACACTTACTAAATCAACAACAAAATGTGAATGATGACATCATATGTAATTATAGAGTGTCATTGTTGTAGCGACAATTTTAACTTGTTTATCGAAAGAATATGTTGGCATATCTCGTAGAATAATCTTTTTTTTTTCAAACACTAAAAGACCTCTCAAGGACACCTCGTAATTACATATTTAAATAATTACATACTAAAAGACCTCTCAATAAAATCTTGTAGAATAATCATTTTTTAAAACATTTATTTTCTTCCTCGTACAATTTGACTCTCCCCTTTTAAAGTTTCGGATGCGATATTTTGTATTCGAAAATGACTTAAGAAAGCCTCATTATAATGGATATCTGACATTCACTAAATAATATTTCTTGATAGAGTTGACAGTCATTAGTTTGATAAAAATTAATAAATGCTTGCTACAATGTCAACCAACTTTGAGGCGACAACAGAAATTTATGCACACAGGATCGGTTGCAAATTTGAAGATTCGACTATCGTGAGCACTAACCTCCCAACCAGCTATGACGAAGGTAAAACAAGTTAGAGTAGCATGTTGCAATTATATTTTGTGTAGGCGAACCACATCGCCCAATGTACGCAATCTTATCAGCATTTAATACACATGCGTTAACATGTGTCCCGACAATAGCACCAACACAGTCCCGAATCACATCTAATTTAGTTTATATTTCAAATTTTCTATATATTTATAGAAAATAAGAATGATTGCAAGATATCTTGAAGTATGACATATATCGATGATCGCATGATATTTCTCTAGGAATATTTTAAAAAGTTCGATCTTCATGTCTAATAATTTCAGAAGACATGCGTACCATTCAAGCCAATTGAAAAATATCTACTGATAATTTCATACGAGTGTTGAAATCTCTTACAGGCTGCCCTTACAGACTAATTATGTGACAAAATATACAGTATTATAGCTAATACCTCCCGTGAAGTCATTCTAGAACAGCCACTAAGACCATAATTAGTGTACAATTCACTCAAAAGATCGGTAAAGATTTATTTTACTCATGTGAAACATATTATGAAATCTCATTGGATGACCCCCAAGCAATTCATTTATCCATTTATCCCCCGTAAAGGTCAAGGTCATACATGGAGTACGAGAGATGTATGAATCGTAATATTCATTCAGCACACACAGAACCAGTATAATGAGTTTTTTGCAATGCTCTCTGTGCTCCCTATCTATAGGATTCATTGTTGTAAAAACTTAGAAATGATACTGTATCACATGATATCACAAGTGTAAACATCAAAATATCAATATCATTTGAGATTATAATGGCACAAATACCAACATTGCAATGTAATATATCAACAACACATCATCACAACACAATATATGACAAGAACAAACATCAGAGCACAATCTATCACAAGTAAAAGCATCACAACACAAAACAACACAAGTAGAATAAGTTTTCATTGTGTCAAATAGGATGACGCATTACAAATGCTAAGAAAAAAAGTAATTGTTCTACCATAAAATAACAAAAGATAAACATCAAAATAATGAGTTTTGTCAAAACATTAACATTAAAAGTAGTTGTTCTACAAATTCAAAAGATCATAAGTGAACTCCACTAAAAAAGCATAGAACTAATATGAATCAATTATCACAATTCTCGTAAAAAAAGCGCCCAGGTAGCTTCATGTTGCATATCTGCATAAAGTTTTGCAGTTTGTTCTAAAATCTTTATCACATCAAGAATAGATAAAGAAGGTTTTGCGGTATTGGTCTCAAAAGCTAAATTTGTGCATGTTATAACTAATTCTGATATTTGACTCCTTAGATAGGCGGAGCTAATTTTTATTGCGACATGCCCTTCCTTTTAAAGAAAGTAGACTCCTAGCATGATTTGATTTGCTGCGTTCATTTATGTCATATGATGATCTTTAAGTGGGTTATGTTCTTGTGAATCTTGAGAAGTGCAGGCATGTCCATCAGTCGCAACAATGCCACTAAACAGGAGATCAAGTTTCTCCTCTAGCTCGAGTTCGATTCTACCAAACATAAATTTTTTAGCATTTAACATAATTTGTTATTCATACAATCAAAAGAAAAAACATCACGTCTACTAATTTTACGTATAACTAAAATAGAATTACAAGTGATTTAAAATTCATTTCACCTCTAACTTCTCCTTCCACTAATCTGTTGATGCATCTATGGTGTTATTAATTGAATCTCATCAAGTCAGTAGATCCTCTATTTAGCTCTTTCCAATTTTCTAATCTTTTTTTAACTAATTACGTTTGTTCTTTAATTGAGTTCTGTCATACAATCCTCCAGTTCTTTCTTAAAAAAATTTTTGTAATGTTCTGTCAACTTTATTCATTGAAATGAGTTGTTGATCTATTTCCTAATTTCATCTCTTCCAAGCAAATGTCACAAAAAATCATTTTTATTTCTTTCTCCCAAATAACGGATGCTACATTGTGTCTTGTGTTGCACATTTGTTATTGTATATAGCAGGTTGATATACGATCTCAAATGTTATATGATAAATAAAAGAGCATCCAGTTGAAGTAGGATAAAATTTGCACAATTTTCAAAGAGCAGGAGAAATTGGGTGGCAGATTTACAAATAAAGTATATAGTCAGACTTACAAAAGACAATAAAACAAGTGCCTCGACCATCCATCACAAAAAGAAAGATTGACATACATGCCATTCAACTACATTATTATGTAATAATGACAATTGTGTACATTTGATTGCATAAAAGTTACTGAATCAACCTCACAGCAATGAATGAATTTGATATTATTGAAACAAAGAAGAAGAAATAATTGAATTAGTGAATTCAATGGATGAGGTTCAAACCTTAAAATATGGTCTGATCTCAACAAAGTAATCAAAATTACAGTAAGGATCATTTTATGATGAGAACCTTCACTGTAAGCATGCTTTATTTAAAAGTAGTTAGGAATCAATAACAAAGAACAAGGATTATTATTCACCCCTAAAGCTTTTCAAAATATATCAGAACAAGAATTATTATTCATTACCGTTCACTCTTCTTTCTCTCTCTACTTACACTCTATTCTCTAGAAGTGATTCACGGACAAATCAAAATTCAACAATATACAAATATGTACATCCCTATCTACATGTTGCAACAACTATGCATGTATTTCAGTGTCATTGTTGATAGCACTATTCTAATCACAAATTAAATAAAGCAAAATAAATGACTATTTGGTCAGGGCATGCTTTGAAAAAAGGACCAAACCAAATACTTGCAAAAATATAACATTAAGATGAACAAACCACAAGCATGGATAACAAGCTTATAGTAAAAATATTTTGGTACGCGGCCCTTCTTTAACCAATGGTATTTATCATCTTTATCTGAATTTTAATAAATACTCTCCCCTAAACAAAATAATAATACTAATTTAACTTCTTTCCACCTCTAAAGAAGCATACTTTC